ATAACAGGTCTTCCAACAATCAACTAAATCAAAGTGAGGTCGGAAACGGAAGTAAATAATAAGGAAGTCTGTTTGTTAGGTCTTCCAACAATCAACAGAATCAAAGTGAGGTCGGAAACTGAAGTAAATAATAAGGAAGTCTGTTTGTTAGGTCTTCCAACAATCAAGAGACTCAAAGTGATGTCAAAAACTGAAGTAATTAATAAGGAAGTCTGTTTGTTATGTTTTTGCACAAAACTACTTAATGGGCTATTTGTGCTCTGTACACTACGTGGGATTCATCTCCGGATTTTAACGTGTAACTTAAAATATTGTCCCACAGTAGATTAGCTGTAAATTTTATTTGACCAAAACTGGTCTGTTTAATAAATACAATTCGAGCAAAGTGACAGAACACTCAACCGAACGAAGACTGTGAAAACGATGTCTAATAGTAATTTGGTTTGTTTCCCGAACTGGTATTGCGAAAATGAAGTAAAATGAAATTAATTTTGTTAAAATATAAGATACCGCGGAAAGGTGCACGACAATTACGGGGGTGGTCGGTTGAGCAGCAGCTTGCTTTCACAGTTTTGAGCTACAGCACACGACCCGTGCTACGCGCAGCATTAAACGTCACTCTCGTGTAGCGTCGACCTCACGTATTCATATTACTATTTATCCCGTAGAATTAAGACCATTCTTATAAAATCAAGTTTAGGGCTACTACAACACGTATAGGTTTATATTCTGAAGTAACTATGTATATATAATTTGTTCGTTTGAGTGCAAAGCCATACTAGGCTTTCTTCTGTGCCCTCCGGAATCGAACCTCGGATTATAGCTTTGCAAGTCTGTAAACTTAACACCGTCTCACCGAGGAACCTATAATATATATATATATAAAGAGAAGGTATTTTCATTAATATTGTATAAGCCCCTCTTCCCAGTGGTTCAGCAGTGAATGCTTTGTCTCACGGTGGGCAGAGCATACATAGCCCATTGTGTAGCTTTGCGCTAAAGAACAAAACAAACCTTTGCATACAAAGACAAAGAAATAATAACAACAATATAAATCCTAGATAAACTGACGTTTACGCATAAATATTTGCTTCAATTACCTTATTTACAAAATTAATCATTTTTCTTAATAAACCACTATAGCATTCATATGGGCCATCTAGTGGGCAAACTTATAACATATAATAATTATTTTGGCCCGGCATGGCCAGGTGGATAAGGCGCTCGACTCACAATCTGAGGGTCGCGGGTTCGAATCCGCATCCCACCAAACATGCTCGCCCTTTCAGCCGTGGGGGCGTTATAATGTGACGGTCAATCCCACTATTCGTTGGTAAAAGAGTAG